GTCTAAACCTCTTCAAAATCCTACGATTAGTTTCGTCAAAATTTTACTATAGATTTATTATAGTTTCAGCAGAGTTTCGGCAGTTTCGGCATTTATAATAAGTTTCAGCAGTTTCGCCTTTCTCTAAAGTTTCGCCAGTTTTTTAATATAACTTTAATATAGTTTCGGCAGAATTTCGCTTTTCGGCGAAACGCCATCTTGCCTAAACCCCTAGGTTTCGGCAAGCAACCTTAAGAATATAGTACAGTTAATAGGACGAAAAAATGAGCAGTTATTAGGCTCTATCTTTAGCACACTTGGTAATCTCTTTGGTAACTTTGTCTACAATTGAGTATGAATGGGACAACAATGATTATAATAGACAACTGGGGAAATAACGTGAGCTCCTGTGAAGGGTACTCATTTTTGGCGGAGTCCGGTCAGTCAGAGACTGCTCGAAGAGCAAAATTTAATCACGTGACCACTGTATTCCTCCTTTCAGTCGAAGAGTGCCCAAAGGCACTTCGTACCTTTCAGGTAGTATCTGTAATCGAACACAGTCTCAGTATGTAGTTAGTTGATAAGATTGTTCATCATTCCTAACTAATATGCACTGCAGTTGTCCACGTTATTCTCCATAACGGCCACTCATAATCTGCGAGCAGGAGCTCAGTCTTAGGAATAGTGGAACCCTCCAGATATTCCATGTCTACGGTATTCTTCCTCTATCATTTACCTACGTCTTTCTTCTCATGAGTGTTTTGGCAGGGGCCCTGTTACCCCCAAAGGGAACTTCCTCTGTCAAAAGTCTTAGGAGAATGTGTTCCTAATGCTGCTCAACCACGCCTATTAGGTACAACGTAGAGTTGATTGTTATCGATAACAGGGAAGGTACTTCATATTTACAAAAAATATTAGTAGACGGCTGCGGAATGGATAATAAGTGGCATCTTACTAGTGGTATCATTTCTGGGACATAATGTCTCGGAAATCTCTTGGCAAAAATCACGGTCAGTTCACTTCCGAAGGAAGGTCTAAAGACTAGTTCTGCAGGAGCTAATCATAGGGTGCGCTTATCACGTAAGGAAATTCTTCTGGGTACTCCTGAGTGTGTCATGTGCCCTTTGGGAGGGACCATGACGTACTATTTTCTCATGTGACACTCTACTCACTTGTTCAGAGTATCATGTGACCATGACGTAGTATTTACTAATTTTGTGTAACTATGAAGTATGCATCTGCAGTCGCCTACGTTATTCTTCCTGTTGTCCACTAATAATCCATTCCGCAGCTGCCTACTCTGCAATTGGTAATTATTGGTATTATTGGTAACTATTGATAATTATCATTACACAAAACATCCCTAAAGGGCGCTAAAGGCACTTCATCGTTACAAAAAATAGTGAATTACTTGTCTATGCGGAACTGAGTGTTAGTGGACAACATGGGATAAATTTTTGGGCGGAGCCCAGGCTATGCCTGTACATATATTACGTAGTACTAGTAAATGTAGACAGGTGCCCTCCAGGCATTCTGCTTTGCAATGTGTTCCTAATGTATAACAATCATTACAAAAATATTATCAATCGTTACCGGTTACAGTAATATAATAATCTTTACCAACTAATACCATCAGTAAATTAGATCGGCATAAAACAATGCATTGAAAAAACACTGTAAAATTCAATATGTTAATCATTGCAATGATCATCGCCAATCAGCAATAAACAATACACTGATTATTTTGTGCAATGATCATTAGCTAAAACTGCGCACTGATCATTTAGCATAGTTTAATGCACTGTTTAATATCTTGTTTTACGCACATTTCAATTTTTTTTTTTACGTTTAAAAACAAATTACAAGTGCTAACCGGGATATTACTCACCTCTCTTAAAATTCAATTTTAATTGGTTAAACTCTAATTGACTAATTTTTTTTTAACTTCGATAAAAAAATCCCACTTTTTTTTATAAAAAATATTTTTAAAAAATAAAATTAAAGCATTAATTAAAACAAACAATATAGCAATCCAAAGTAATTTCGTTTATTAATTAATTCTTTCAATACGTGTCACATTTTACAAAGAAACAAAACCCCTGATATTAAAGATAAAAAGACAAAAACCGCAATGTTAAGTATGAAAATAATGAAATTTCAAAGTTAAAAAGATGAAAGGGGCAAAACATCAAAGATAAGAATGAAAATAACAAGTAAAAGAATAAAAATAACGAAATGCCAAGGTTAAAGAATGAAAAGGACGAAATTCTATTTTCTCCAAACTTAATATTAGACGTGTCTTTAAATCTAGAAAGAAATACCAAATAAAATGAGAAAGTAAAAACAAAAAGGAAACGAAAGAGGAAAAATTGGAACAAAAAAAAGAAAAGGGAACGAAAAGGAAGAAAATATATAGAAAGGTGATCAAGAACAAAAATAAAAAGGGTAGAACGAAAATAATTTAAAAGGTCAAAAGGATGAAAACCATAATTCCATAAAGAACAAAACCCATAAAGTTAAAGAATAAAAGAAATAAAATAAGTTAGTAAGAAAATAAAACACAAGAAACAAATACAAAAAAGAAAAATATACAGTACCTAACTAATCTCAAAAAATAGATGAACTATATTTAAAAAATAAAATAATTTACAAAATATTCATTTGTTTTATTGAAACATGGAATAATGTGAACAGGTTCAATAATAGATTCAATTGCTATAACAGTAAACATTGGAATACGTTTTACGTATGGACAATCATATTTAAATAAGCGGTGTAAGTCATTGTATTTAAAATTATACCAATGAACTAATGCCAATTCTTGTTCATCATGACCGGGAATTTTTAATCCAAATAACATTAAAATCTAATAAAAAAATTTTTTTATAAATAAATAAAAATATGCAAAATAATAATTCTTATTTTTACCTTTGCAAAACATACTCCATCAATTGTATTATATTTTTCAGCCTCCTCTTCGTTCATATTAATTGCAATATCACTAAAAGCAGGTGCATTGTAATAATTGCTTTTAGCTCGTATAGTATCAACTTCTCTAATAAATGCACTAGTATACCACTTAATAATTGTTGCTTCAACATCTTTATCAGTAATATTTTCGATAAGATCAAAATATTGATTTAATGAGTCAATTAATACTTCAAATGCTTTTTCAGCTTCTAATGCTAAAAAGTGAGTAGTTCTATATTCATCAACAAAGTCATTAAAGGTATCTAATGTAAAGCTGCCCTCAATTCCACCTAATGTTTTAATTTGACGATGTTTCTTGATTGAAGGTGGAGATGTTATTTTTTAGAGATAATTTAAAATACTATCATGTCGCACCTAATATGATATAAATGATTGATTAATTTTATATAATAAATTAATAGTTACGGTATGATAATTGAACTATACCAAATTAATTATTTGTGAAGTTGCATCCCGCCGATTGGACATTCTATATGGAGCTTTAATATAAAATTTATGTAACGACTCATAAGTTTCAGTCGTGAAACCATTAATTGTACCATAGTTTCGTATAGCATCAATAATGTGATGTTGCCAATTGTGTAGTTTTGGGTATTTCATTTCAGTATCTGCAATTGGTGTAAATAAATTAATAAATTTATTTGCCCAATCAATAATCATTTTCTAAAATAATAGATCAAAGAATATTAATAAAATACTTATAATTATATATTTTAAAATTTTATAATGTACCTGAAAGTTATCAAGTTCTGAATCTGTAAAAGTATCCTTACGGCTAAAAATATACATTCTATTCCAGAATACAAATAAATCTACAAGCTTAGAATCATGTTGTTTTGCTTGAAATAAACTTAAATTTGATTTGCGTTTTGCAACAATTAGACCATCAATAACAAAGACCAATTGTTTCATCATATTTCGAAATTCTGCTGCTGTAAAACGTGCAATATTACCAAGACCACTCTTAAAAATCTTTAGCTCGGGAAAACGTGGGATCTTTGCCAAATGTTTATCAAATTCATTAATTCCATCTTTCCTACAATATAATTGAATATAATTTCTAGCAAAATTAACTTGATAATTGAATAAACCAAGATCGCAATGATGCATGCGATCTGGTACTGCAGCACTATAAATATTCAATTCACTATAAAATGGATATAAAATTATTTTAAGTTATTTAAAGTTAAGAGTAAATTTATTCATCGCACGTGCGATGCATCGCCACTTTCCTTTTTTGTAAATTATTTATGTTGATCAACCTGCTTATACATTGCCACCCCCCTTAAAATGGCAATGATAAACATAAAAATTTGCATCGCACGTACGATAAATAAATTATTTCTAAAGTTAAATATTGGATAAAGTAATTTTTATAAAATATTCTTACGAGAACTTCCAAAAGATATTTCGCATTGGATGAATAGAATATTCCACTGGTCGAAATCATTTCTTTCGGCATTAATACCTTTCGTCAAAAGTTCGTCATTGTCATCACGTGATTCGTCACACATTCGGCTAATTATAAAAATTGGAAAAAATTCGGCATAAATCAACTGGTCAATTTTTGGTCGATTTTTGGTTGAGTTGTAACATAAAAAAAAACCATAAATCGACCAATACTTTTTTTTATCGATTTTTTATTAACAATGATGATCGACTTGACGATTTTTAACCAAATTTTTTAATTAATATCAATAATATTGCAGATTTTGACAATCAATTGCACAATTCCGCAATTAGTCTGCAAATGTGGCATTATTATAAAAAACACATTTTACTAACAGAAAAATGTGTTTCTATCATATTTTTCAAAAAAATGCATTTGAATTGGTAAAAAAATGCATTTTTGCAAATAAAGAATCTAAATTTGGCCGGATAATTTGACAGATTATCCAATATCCGTCAAATTATATCTGGCCGAATTGCCTTATTTTATATTTTTTTTCTTTTTTAATTTAATTAATATAGCGATTTAATATTTAATATATATATCATTTTTAAATAAAAAAAACACCAAAAAAAGGTGTTTCAGCCAGATAATATCCAATATCTGTTGAATTATCCGGTTTATGACTGAATGAATATTAAAAAATCGAATCATCAATAACCGTCAAATTGACCGGCCGATCCATTTTTTTTAAAAAAAAAATCGTTCTTTACTTTAATGATAAGAAAATAATAATCAAGTTTAAAGTTATGTTATTTACAGTATGTAAAAAAGTATTTTTTTTGCAATTCCGTAATTTATCCACAATTACAGATTATTTGCGGAATTGCGTCACAATTACCTATTTGTGGCATAATCTTTAACGAGATTATCCAGATCAAGTTAAAAAAAAGCTTGTTTTTTAATGAGGCTCCTTCACCCTTTCTCCTTTCGTTCTTTTCCTTTCTTTCGCCCTTATTCTTCTATTTGGCGTTGATAGGATAAATTTTTTTTTATTTATATTTTTTTTATTTTGTAGGTTTCGGTTTCAGTTCTTGGATGTTGGATATATAGGTGAGTTTCGAAGTTAAAACTTCGAAACTTTTCTTAAAAAATTTTTTTTTTTTTTTGTAGGTTTGGCCTTCGGTTCTTGGGTGTTGAATATACGGGTGAGTTTCGGAGTAAAATCTTCGAAACTTTTTTTAAAAAAAATTATTTTTTTTTAATTTTTTTTAAAAATTTTTTTTTTTCTATTTTGTAAGTTCGGCCTTTGGTTCTTGGGCATTGGATACAGGTGAGTTTCGGAGTAAAATCTTCAAAACTTTTTTAAAATAAATTATTTTTTTTAAAAATTTTTTTTAATTTTTTTTCTTCTGTTTTGTAGATTTCGGCTTTCGGTTCTTAGGCTTTGGATATATGGGTAAGTTTTGAAGTTAAAACTTCAAAACTTTTTTTTAAAACAATTAATGAACAGTTTCTAACGGTTCGTTTTTTTCTTTTTTTTAGACGGGTTTATAGATTTTTTAGACAGCTATCTTCAGATCTTCCACGTGTGGATGCAATTTGCTGAGTCCATGTATATTGTAACCTGTGAGGATGTGGAATAGTCAGTAAAGCCGCAAATATAGCATAAGCTTCAGCTTTTGTGGAGAGGGTTGGAGTATCGTTCCTTCTCTAAAAGTATGTGATGTAGAGGATCCTATTTTTAGCCAGCCAAAGCCCATTCATTCTACATTTTGGTGCATGACAGGTCAAAAATATATATTTTTTTTATTTTAATTGTTAATTTTATTTTTATTTTTAATTTTATTTTATTTTTTTTTTGTAGGTCGTCTTCCTAGATTTACTTTCTTTTCTTTTGTAGATCAGCTCCTTAGATTTCTTTTTTGGCCTCCCAGATTTTCTGGATTTCTCTTTCAGCTTCTTTTGTGTAGAACGGCTCCATGAATTTTCTTTTTCGGTTTTGGATTGCAGATACTATTTCTTTCGGTTTTAGATTGGATTTCTTCTCATTTGTAGGACGGATTTTTTTTTTTTAGAGGGCTAAGGGCTGACACTTTAGATCTTTAGAAACGTATATATTCAGCAAAGAAGTATTTATATAAGGGTTCTTCTTTGAATTAATCTTTACTGAAACATTTACTCATATTTTACTTGTTTTTTAGGTAACCGGTTCTTTGGATCTTTGGACATGTAAAAAATTCGGTAAGGGGTTTTTTCTTTGAAATAAAATAACTAATACCTTTTAATAAAATATTTTAATATCTTATTTCTTTTTTTTTTTTGTAGATGGCCGATTCTTTGAAGTATTTGGATATGGAATTCGGTAAGAAAATTTTCTTCTTTAAATCAGTCATTTTAACGAAACAATCATTAATGTTTCATTTTTCTTTTTTTTTTTTTTTAGGTTCTTTTATTTTTTTAATTTTGTAAGGACTCCGGCTTACAACATGGATGGAATTCCAGGTGAGCTTTCGAATATCAAAACTTTAATTTGTTTTTTTTATTGAAGAAACTTAATTAATCGTTTTTTTTATTTGTAGATAATTTTAAGATTGTTTGGATGAGTGGATGGTAAACAATAGATGGTAGATGATAGATGGTTGGTGTAAATAGATAGATACTGTAGATATTAGATGTTTAATATGTAATTTTTTAATATGTAATTTTTGATAAAACGAAATAACAAAATATAATTGATTGTTATTATAAAATTAAAAATAAGCTAAATACAGTATATAAAAATCATTAATAATTAGGTAAAATTAGACTCCATTTCGTCCAATATTCGGCAATTTGAATTTAGACGAAATGGACTATTTTGACCAATAGAAGTTTGACGAATAGTTTTATTTCCGATCTTTTGCCGATAATAACAAATTTTTGCCGATTTGTGATTGCCAAGTGGCAGGCGAACTGTGCAAATCGTCCATTTTAATTTTGACGATTTTTTTGGCAATGATCAGCCAAACTTAGACCAACATTCGTCCAACATTCGTCAATTTGAAATTTGGACGAAATGGATTATTCTGACCAGTGTTCATGACAAAGGTTGTTATTTATTACAACTTGCATATTATTGGGAGTTCTTAGTTCTATTTGAGATTGCGATAAATTAATATTATTTAATTCATCAATTGTTACAGTACAAATATGACAAGGATGACTACTCCGAGATGAGCTGTAAGTTAACGTTAATGATGCATCTTCAGGCAGATCACCTATAAATTCTGATAGAAAAGAAAATGCCCAAATTATTTGATTGTCTGTTTTAATATCTAATCCATCACATTCATATATTGGTTTAGTCATAATATCAAAACAATATTGATATAACATCCTTTTAGCAGATGCAAATTCTGATTTATTTTCTTTACGATTATGAAGTGGTTTCAGCTTAGGCAAAATTCCTAATAAGACTTTAGCATCCTGTTTGTTTCTACGCCAATTAGGTATATTACCTAATGATAAATAAACAGGATGTTCTGAACTTTTGCCAAAATGGTCTAATGTAGTTGCATCGGAATATAATATTATAGATAAAACCTTTTTTAATCCTGTCCCAATTGATTTTTGAGCATTTTCCCACAACATTCCAGACCATTGCTCTCCATATACACACTCACGATGTCCATTTTCATTGGTAATATAATCCGGTGAACAATTCCATTGGCAATGATTTATGATATCGATATTAGATAATAGTTCTTTGATAGCTTCAAAAATAGGTCGATGATAAAGAAAATATTCTTCATCTTCATATTTTAATATTTTTGTTTTGAGATATAATAAATGTTTAATATCCATAGAACTAACAAATTCGTGACCTTGTGCTGTATTTGTTGGTAAAATAATATCGTCTCAGAGATGGTGTTTGCAAAACCATTTCAATATATCATTTTCAGCTAAATTAGATAAGTGATGTGTTGATATGAGCTCCATAAATTCAGAATATGCAGCATCAGGAAATTGTGGTATATTACGACTTGAAATAGACCTTGTATCAATTAAGGATATTTTATCAGTTTGTTAAGGAGTATATAAAGTGTAGTTATGAATATGATCATAAACTGGCTCTTCCTCAATATCGATGATGGTTTCAGATGTTTCAAAATCAGTATCACTATCACTTTCATCCATAATACCTCTATCCATAATGTTTTCATCTATGACACTTCTGTCTACAACACTTTCATCAGCAATATTTTCATTGACAACATCTTCATTTACAATTTCCATAATGGCATTGTTATCATCATCTACATTATGATCGTTATCTACATTGTATTCACGTTCATCTACATTATCCTTTATAAAAAGTATAAAAAAGGTTATACAATATTAATTAAAAGTATAAAATTTAAGTACACATTGTTATAATTACCGTTATCACAAATTCTCTGGAACACTCTACTTTTTCTATACAAGAATCTTCCGAAACACTGTTTAATATTTCCCAATAGGCCTGACCTTTATGAGATTTTGTATGTTCACGAAGAGCAGCATGGCGTGAAAAGGTTCTTTTACAATTCTGATATGGACAGTTAAACATTCTGCACAAAAAATTTTGTTGTTTAATATACAATAGATTTTTATCATTAAATCAGATACAAAAAATACAAAAAATTTTATCTACCTAGGTAACTTCAATTAATTATATATATATTAATTAAGTCTTGTGATTTTGAAATTATTAATTTGTTGGATTACATCATGATATTAGCATTACGATCAATTGATCAAATCACATCATAATATTATAATCTTCATATCTTAGAAGATCAAACATTTTTCTTTTTTTTAAATACAATGTCATCAAGACGAGGAAGGAGAAAAAACTGTAATACTACTACAGATAGTGAATCTGCCATATCCCTTAGAGAATTACTCAAAACTAATAAAACTTCTCATGAGAAAACAACTATAGTAAATTATTTAATATTTTTTATGATATTTCTAACATTAATGTATATTATATATACCTTATTACGTGAATTTTATAGGTTGAATTAAGTAAAACTGATGAAGTACAAAACAGAAAAAAAAGAAGGAATGATTTGAAAGAAAATAAAAAACAAAAAAATTCTCGAGTTTCCATATCGCAAGACATATCATTATCAAAAGAACATATTGAACATCAAGCTACTTCTCAAGATTTTCCGGTTGTAACTATTGTATCTGATAGTAATGATTTGAACGATTCTATGATTAATAATACTAATAAAAGGTATATGCATTTTGTAAGGAGTTTATAACATTAAAATTATATCTAATAATGAAATTTATTAATATTTAGCGAAAATCAAAGAGAATCGATAAACAGTGAATCTGATACACCTGATTTATCAACATCTCATCTAACCGAAAGGATAAGTGAGTGTTACAAAAATTTTTTCTATATATAGTATCATTTTGATTATCTAAACTGTATTTACAATTAAAGATGCACAGCTTAAGCGTAAAAAATTGCATGAACTTAGTAATTTACCATCTAAATGTAAGCAGTTATTTTTGATAAATATTACGTCAAATTATAATTTTATATTTATTTTTTTTAATTTAGGTGTTAAACTTGATGCAAATACTCATTCTATTCTTGAAAAAATCCTCGAAGAGCAGCTGAAGCAACGTATGACAATTGAAACTTTGCAGGAAAAATATGCAGAGTTAAAAAGTGATATTTATGAAAATCATAAACTCCTACAAAACGTGCTTGCAGTTTTAACAAAAGAACCATCATTAACTACTAATAATCAAGCACATCAACTGGAGGGAAAAGTAAAGCAACGTTTGAAAAGAAAGGATACAAAACATTTGTGGTGGGATGTAGGTAATAATATAAAATTTTTATCTTAGTTAGATATAAATATAACTATTTTATAATATTTCTTTTAGGTTCCAATGACAGAAGCTTGTCATCAATTGTTTCAAGAAAATAAAAATCCGTCAGATGCAGATATTGAACGTGTTTTCAAATCAAAAATTCAAACTGATTATCCCAAAAAATTACAAGAAATTGTAGATTCAAGTGGATGGGATAATTTCTGGAATGCTGGATATTCAATTGTAAAAAATTTTATCAAAATTTTAATGTATAAAAACTAAATTCAATTTACAATTTTTAATACCTATATTATAGACATTGGAATATTTTCGTAATTATAGGAGCTCTTACGTACGCAAGATAAAAGATGCAGTTTACGCTACTTTCAACTTAATTTCTCACAAACTTAACAAGTTTGCCAGTCCCACGGAAGTCAGATCTTGGAAAGAATCGGAACAAGTTAAACAAGCAAGATCTAATTTGTGGAATAAAATAGATAATGAACCAAATTCTCCTTCACTTATTGAAGATATTTTGCGAAAAGTGTTTATGAAAGAAGAGTTGCAAAATGAAAATAACATTAAATTCGGTATTACAGTTGCATGGATGTTATTAGATCCATCATATGATCAGGTTGAAATATCATCATCAAAAGTACAAGAACGGATGGATAAATGGGATACTGATTCTATTATACAAAAATGGGTATGTAAAGTATTAAATTAATTTGTATCTTATTTTATATATTTATTTTTTTCCTTATTTTAATCAAACATTTTAAATTTTAGCTTAATAAAAAAAATAACAATAATGAAATTAATAGTGAATATAATAGTGAATTAGACGAAAATGAAATTTTGCAAGAAGCTGAATAATAAAATTTGGAAAATGTGGTAAAACTGGCATAATATTATTATTTAGATAATTTGAGTTGTTATGATATAATGTAATAATATAATATTATTATGTAAAGCAGTAAATAAAAATAATAAAATATCGCACTGTTCGTAGCAATTTTTTGTGCAATGTTACAGGCTGATTTAACGCACTGTTCTGTGTTGCCTTCACAGAATCATGTGATTTTACGCTGATCTGTGCTGACATAAAACAATGCACTATTTCACGTGCACTTAATTTCCTGATGAATATCTTCATATTTTTTAACCAAATCTTTTAATTGTTTTTCTTGTAATTTCTTTAAATCTTTATATTTTATTTCATTTGTCCATTCTTTATACATCTTTAATATCTCTCTATTATTATAGCCAAGACCTAATAGTTTTCCTCTATAATATGTCCTTTTTCTTCATTATTTATTAAATACATTTCTCGTTCACTTATTTCTTCATATTCATTTTCATTATCATCACTATTATTATCATCATTAATATTTTCATTATTATTTTCATATTCTATTGGTATTTCAGTTTCTTTTCCATTTTCTCTTAGTACTTTTTCATATTCTACTGGTATTTCAATTTCTTCTTCATTTTCTTTTAATATTAATACTTTTTCATTATAATCTATTATCCTTTTCTTTTCTTTAATACATCATTTCCTAATATTAATTCTTTTTCTACTGATTCAATTACATCCATAATTATTATTATTTCTGTATTTTCATTTATTTCTATTATTATTTCTATTTTTCCTTTTGATGCAATTCTTGTTCCGTTAGCCATTATAAATCTAATATCACTCTTTTCTATTATTGGAATATTTAATTCTTTTCTTAATTTATCTGATATTAAGCTAACTGATGCTCCTGAATCTATTATTATTGATACTAATTTTCCTTTTATTATAACTTCACTTCTCATTCCTTCCGTTTCACTTTTATTATCTACACTTTTTATTGGTTGGTTTGAGTGTAGTTATACATTACTATATCCATTATAATCTCTAGTTATTTTTCTAAATTTTGGATTTTCATTATAAATTTGCCCATATGTTATATTTGCTTTTTCATTAAACATATCCATTACATATTTTTCTGGTGGTATATTAACTCTTACTCTAATATTTTTGTTTCCTCTTTTCATTCCTGAATTTGGACATTCTTTTATAAAATGACCTTTTAATCCACATCTTTCACATTGATTATATTGTCTTCTTAATTGATATGTTTTATCTCATTCTTCTTTAGTAGAAAATCCTCCTCTTCTTTCACCATCAATATCCATTTTCATATCATATTCTCTTTTTGGTGGTATTGAAACATCTTTAATTTCCATTTCATCAATTAAATCTTCTCCATATCTATCATCAGTAATTTTTTTGAGATGTGGATCCATCTTAAATCCAAAGTTTACAAGTCCTAAAACTGTGTTCATGTCCTAATTAGTATTTTTTCTATAAAAAATTACTGCACTCCCTTACTTTTAATTCCAACCATTATACCTTCCATAATTCCATATTCAAAGCTAGGTGTCCAATAAGGTTGCTTGTCTAAACCTCTCCAAAATTCTACGATTAGTTTCTCTAAGATTTTACTATAATTTTATTATAGTTTCAGCAAAGTTTCAGCAGTTTCGGCATTTATAATAAGTTTCGTCAGGTTTCGCTTTTCTCCAGAGTTTCGCCAACTTTTTAATAAGACTTTCATATAGTTTTGGCAAAGTTTTGCTATTTTGGTATTTCGCCAACTTGCCAAAACCCCCTAGTTTCTCCAGCAATCTTAGTGTCCAATAGCCTATGTTCCATTCCTATAAAATAATAAGTAGTTAATAATTTAGTATGACTGACTATTTCTTTAAAAAAAACTATATAAAATTGGTTCTTTACTGAAGACTTCACATTATTACAACTTCTTAACTATTTATTGAAGGAAAAAGTAATTTATATGAAATTTTATAAAAATGAGACTAAATAAATTATCAAATATATAGAATAAAACTTGGTTTATCATAAAAACCAAAAAAAATTTTTTTGATCTTAAAAAAAAAACCTAAATCATAAGTGTAATATTTATCCGTTACAAATTTCGGAAAAAAAATTATCCCTTTTTTTTAAAAGATCTGATTGCCAATCTTTTTTTTTGGATAACTATCTACAATACCGATGCTTTCATTTCATATACTCTGATAAAGTAATAACACTTTTCGTTTGCTATAATACCCTTTTGGCTTTTTAGATTTTAAAACTCATAATTACCATTCAAACCAATAAATAAACTCTAAATAACAAAAAAAATTAGTTAATAAATAATAAAAAAAATATAAAAAATAGCGAAATAAATTTAAACTAGAAAGACTTATCATAACTCTATAAGCCATTACCAAAGTCTAAATCCAGGCAGCCGAAACTTAAATAATAAAAAAATAAAATTAAATGAAAACAAAAAATAAAAAGTGAAATTGGTAATGAAATGAATTAATATACCTTTTCTAGAGTTTTATTTACATTTTAATATAAAATTGTTAGTAATGTTCATTTTCCTTTTTTGTAGATATTAACTTTGAATTTTCATTGAAACAAAGACAGAGTCGTTGGGCTGGTAGTATGTCTCACTACGCTCATCCCCACCTCGGCCTCACGGCCTTGCAGTACTTACATCCCCCCCTCCGTGGGGCGGGGAATCCCTATATATCTGAAACAATATGAAACAAGATCTGAAACATAATAATATAAGCAAAAAAGGATAAAATAAGGGAAAAGAGAGGAAAATAAAAGAGAATCAGAGAGGTGTTTCGATGTTTCAGATGTTTTGGCAATTTTGGTAAAAGCCAGGCGAGGACAACCCCCCAGAAAAAGTTTTGATTTTACCCCCCAGATCCGAAACTTCTGAAACATCTGAAACAGATTCAGGATTCCGTTCGTTTTCTTATTGGAGGCAGTGAGATAGCAAACCGAGTAAACAGGTAGGTTAATAGCCCCTAGAAAGACTGTCGAGTTACAAAAGGATAGCCAGGTAGGAGCGCGGATCTTTGGAAAAAATATATTCGGCAATTGAAGATTAGGTAACTATAAGCAGTGTTGTCATAGGGACGGGACATGTCTATGGACAGGACGGGACGGGACAGTCCAGGACACGTCCAAAGATTTTAGCAATGTCCGGGACATTGGAACATTAAAATCACGTGATCTTAATTATAAATTATAGCCCATTAGGTGCTGTCTTGATAAGACAAATTGTAAACTTGAACAATTTTTGGACGGGACGTGAACGGGACATGGACGGGACAATGTCTGGGACATTAAAATTTTGGCGGGACATGTCCCATGTACAACACTGACTATAAGTAACATACAATGATGAACTTACACGCAGTCACTTCTCTTGCTGAAGACCTCACACTTGATCTTGTAGACATCTATGGAATCCGTAAATGGATCCAAATGCGGGCATTACCCCTCAACGATCCTGATATAGTAAGAGAGATGGTCAGAAACCTTTCGATCAAAGAATTCGGAAAACATCTCAAGATAAACAGACTCTGGTACAACGGTTGTAAAGCCGAGTTGTGGAAGCAGCATAAAGAAGCCGAGGAGGTATACAGCAGAGCGGCAGATAAGTACAGGGAAGCTGATAATCCTGCAGAGTCATATTTTTTGTCCAGATTTTTACAAGGATTGATGACTATGTAACCATATCATCAGGTATCCTTACATTTTTCAACAAAGATTGATGACCATGTAACTTCATCATTAGGCATTCATAAATTCTTAACATAAACTAATAAATTTTTAAATGTTCTATCTAGTACTCTTTCAAAATTTTGTCTAATCACTAGTTTGAACTGATGAGATAGCAAATTAAGTTAATCCTCTTTACCAGGATTCCCTAAAGAAATTCTTGTTGGCTTTGGACTATATAATAATGCAGAAAGCCAGCAAAATGATTTATCATCTCTTATTATATTATTAGCAAAAAGCCATTGTAACATATTATTTCCTTCTTTAAATTCCTCAATATCAAGTGGACATGATCTCAATAGTAATAAAAGTTGATTCATATATAATCTAGCCATTTCTTTATCCTCTTCAGTCTGTTCTAAATCTGCTATTGTAGGATCATATGTAAATTGTGAAGTTTTAGAACTAGCAGTTGAAAGTGGAATACTATGAATACTTGATTTACTAGATAAAGCAGTATATTGAGATATTGTCTCCTCAAGATCTCGAACAGATTTTTTAGTTGAAGCAGTATGTTGAGATAATGTTTCTTGAAGGTTTCGAACAGAATTTTTAGTTGAAGCAGTATGTTGAGACATTGTTTCCTCAAGATCCTGTATTTTACTTTGTGCTGCTTCCTGCTAATTTGATAAATCTGTTATATCACCTGACACTCCCTTAATATCCATTGATGTATTTTTTAATTGCCAAGAAATTGCTCACATTTGTGAAGCAAGTTCATCTATAGTTGCTTTAAGCTCTTCTACAGATGATATACCACCATACTTTAGATTGTTTGGAAGGTTATTTCCAACTTCTGAAGGTTCTGGAATAGTTTCTGGATAGCTAATTACTTCAGTAATTTTAGGTATACATGGAATTCTGTGATTCAGATGAGTGTTTCTATCTCGAGTACTTTTAAAATTATTTTTTCCACATTTAGGACATGGAGGCATCATGGTGAATAATATTATAACCACTCAGTAAAGGTAAAGTGTTCATTTCTGATGTGTATGTTCAAATGGACAAATGGATGGATAGATGGAATCCTGAACATTATTGTATAAATGGCCAGATGAACAAATGGATGCCATTCCATCTAATGCTATATTTTTAACGTATAAATGGATGGATGGATGGAATCTTGAACATTGTTGTACAAATGGTCAGATGAACAAATGGATGCCATTCCATCTAATGCTATATTTTTAACGTATAAATGGATGGATGGATGGAATCCTGAACATTGTTGTACAAATCAAATGGATGGAATCCTGAACATTATTGTACAAATGGCCAGATGAACAAATGGATGCTATTCCATCTAATACATATTAGAAATTATTAGAGAACATTTAAAAATTTATTAGTTTATGTTAAGAATTCATGAATGCCTAATGATGAAGTTACATGGTCATCAATCCTTGTTGAGATAAACATAGCATGAGCTTGAATTTTATTAATTAATGCCGAAGTAACTTTAGAGAAACACAGAGTGATCTATAAAGTACCGCAACAAGTGCAGAACTAATAGAAAAACAAAGAACAAATAATCTTCCGAAATTACAAATATGTAAGAAAAGCTAAGATTAAAAACCCCACCCTCTCTATATAAATAACTACGGCTACTCCCCCCAAATATATTTCAAAATGAGTAAAGTCGACTATGCTATACGTAACCCATCCAGCGCCGTACCCACTCCTAGAATCGGTAAAGAACCTCCGAGCTACCATTAGCACTATCAAAAA